TAGTATACGTAGGATTGATGGTGATGTTATATCTGTTGGAAATATGCTCAACATGTATTCTCATGGACTCATAGGCCCATATGTACACACGTATAGGTGAGGAAAATGCACAGAAAACCCCTTATACACTTGAAAAAATACAAAGGATGTTCACGGCTGTATAACAACACCCCCCTTCCCATCCTTAGTTTGGAGAGATAGAACCTATGGTGTGCTCTAGTCTGGGCCTTGTGAAGAAATCTGGACAAGGGATGCCTACAATCTATATGAGAGCGCCGTACGTGTATGATCTCAGACAGTGGCGGACCCAGGGAAAAAATGAAGGGTGTGCACAATTTGAAAAAAATCTGCCTAATCTAAGTGTCATATCATATATGGCAAAAGAATAACACAAATAGCTCAATCAAGTCTCACAATATTACGTTTCAGTAAATAATTTCAAATTTGCAAAATTACAATACAAATAATTATGAAAGAGACACAAGAATACCTTTGGTTTGCCCTTCAGCTGCAACCTTCTTTATTTGAACTCATGTTTTCAACCAAATGGACATAATATTACCAATCCTCTTTGTCTTGAGTTATGCAAGTACAACAAAACAAGAGGTGTCCAACAATTACAACAAAATGGTGACGGTTGTTTTGTTCAAAGGATAAATAGTTTTTATGTCATTAAACAAACAAGAATGTGGGCTTAAATGGACTGCAATGTCCTATTTTCACGGACTAGAGGGCAACTGATGCGGGTGATCTATGCATCCAGCTGGTCAATGGCAAGCATTTCGGGGCGGATGGCCGGTGGAGAAAGGAGGGGAAGGGACCGGGCGACAATGCGAGCGGCCGAGAGGAGGGAAGAACGGGCAGCGGCGATGTCCAAAACGCAGACGAGCAGTCGAGACGAGTGATTAGGTTTGGATGGCTGGCTCCCGCATTTGTGTCCGTGGACTGATCCTGATTTGTCCATGGACAAATGCGGCAGAAAATTTATGGGTCAACGTTGAAAATATCAAATCTTGTTATACCTAGATTTTCTTTCCCCTCTCGCAAGGCGATTAGGGAAAGCCTTCCTTCCTTCGATCTTCACCGGCGAGTCCGTGCATTTGCCTCCCCTTCGCCCGCCGCTCCGGCAGCCGGTGGAGGGGAGGGGATTTCTCGTGTCTCGAATCCCACTAATAGATAGGTATGATTTTAGTCCTCGCAGGGGCGGCGTTTGGACGTATGGCGGTGCTTCTTCATCGAGTCAGTCTTCCGGGCTACGACCCTCCTCAAGTTTGTCCGTTGGGACGGATTAGACGGAGCTCCGGCGTAGATCCCTGCCAGTTTCTCGGGGCGGCGAGGTTAGGTTTTCTTGTCGTGCGCACGCAACGGCGATATTTGGTGTCAGGTTCTTCAGATCTATTAAAGGATTCAACGGCGATGGCTGCGGCTCTGGGGCGCTTGTCCTTAGGGGCACGTGCACGAATACTTCCCAGCTGTCATTGACAAGGTCAGACCGGCTCTGGTAGGGAGCGGCGGCTCGTTCTGGCGGCGGCTGGTCATTCGGTGGTCCATGGACCTCGATGTAATTTTTATTATGCTTGAGGTGTTTTGTACTTCCGATGAATCTTTATAATTGATTTGATCCTTTTTGCAAAAAAGAAACGTTGGAAATATCCCGTGGTAGATCGAGATTGTCTCGAAAAATAAAGTGGTAGATTCAAGAATCCTAATTTTTTTTTCTTTTTTTTGTTTGCAATCTACACGAGTCGCCCCTAGAGTTCTCGTTGAGTTGATCGATGGAATTGATCTAGCTAGCTTCTTCCGGGCGCATGTATGTATAGGAGTCTTTGGCTGGATACACACGTAGTGCTGATAGTAGAAAAATCAATCAAGCTGCTTCTATGGTTTGCTAGATTTGCATGTACGTGTACGGCTTCAGATGAATTAGTTATAGTACTGTAAAACCAACAAAATCAGGAAAATATGACATATAGTGAAAAATATCTGCAAAATGCTGGGTGTGCCACGGCACACCCGGCACACCCTCTAGGTCCGCCAATGATCTCAGACAAGAAAAGCGCAAGAGACAAAAAAAAAATACAATCAAGAACAAGTTGCGGCGTTCAGAAGAAAACCTAGGGTTCTGATATCATGTTAGAAATATGCAACTTGTATTCCCGTATGGCCATAAGCTAGCAACTATACACATGCACGTGTGATAAATATGCAGAAAGCCCCTTATACAACAGAGAAATATAGTATACTCATCTATAAACATAACTCTAACAACCTTTAGTTATTTGTTCTTTTCCGGAAGAGGATTTGTGGCTCTCAGGTGCCACACACTCATATATGAATATAACATTAAAAAACATATTAGGATATTTCAAAAATAAATCTGAAAATTTGGGATATGAAACATGGGTGCCCGTTGAGTGTGTTCAGTTTCAGTAAAAAAGACAAAAAAATCGTATGTATAGAAAAAAATTGGATGTATCATATGTCGGATCATAATTCCTGCATCGTGGATACCACGGGCACCCCTTCGCCGTGAAAATGAACACAGATGTAGAATGGGCACCCAAGTTTGATATCTCAAAATTTCAGATTTTTTTTTAAAAAAATGATATTTAAAAAAATGTTATTTTCATATAGGGTGCGTGGCACCCGGGTGCTCCAATGCATTTCCCTTTCTTTTCCCTTCTTTGCTCTCCTTAGCAACTAGCGAGTAGCTGTAGCTGCTTTGATTTTTGTTCTTACAGCTAGTGTTACTCGAGTTGCCAACAAAGACGGCGACTACTTGGCAATGCAGTGAGAATAATCGAGGTACTGTGGTCGGGCGGTATTGTATAAGGGGTTTTCTGTGGGCCTGCAGGCTAAGATGGCCGGGCGGTATTGGATCATCTTAGCCTGCACAGAATACACGTTTATGTTAGCTGGCCATTGCATTGGCTATTTTTACTCACCAGGTACTGTGGTATGTCTAAAAGTATACGTACAATGACATATTTCGTGCATGCAAGAAAAAAAGGTGGTGCTGCTAGCATTTTTGAATTTGTGTGGACAGTTCCTGTTTGCACGCAGAAGGGAGAAAACGACACTTCCTGAAGTCGCATTGGATCTATCACCAATAATAGTGTCAGGAACAGCACTGCTGCAGCAGCAACATCAAAAACGATACCATTGGACATTAAAAGCTTCAATGCAGGGCACACTCACTCATACCGATGATAATTAATCTGCCTTAGACCACTGGGTGCCAGCAAATCTGCTGCATGGTTTGTAAACATCCCTATTTTCTGGAAGCCATGTTTAATCGTACTTTCATCTACTGATGTAGCGTTAAATAATGTTTCATTTTCCTGAAGCTATTCCCCACAGTACAAGTTCTTCTCACTTTTATGGGACTGGCGTGCAGGCTAAGATGATCCAATACCGCCCGGCCAGCAAAACAGTACTTCGAACTAATTTGCACCTTGAGGTAAATACTCCACCCTAGCTACTCTCCTGTGAAAGAAGAGGAACATCATATAATCTCTGTACAGCCGGCTAATGACCTTCTTTTCTCTCTCAAAAAAAGATAATGACCTTCTTTCAGTTTGGACAATCTCACAAGAGTAGCACCCACTGCCTAGTCTGATCAGTAGACATTTACATAAGATATGAGCCTGACATCTCAAATCTCATACCTTAATAAGGGCGAAACCCTAGGACAAGATCCATGTATCGTTGCTTTCGTATTGCTAGCAGTACTAACATCTTAGATGGGTGTTGGGAAATAATTATGGGTGGCTAGCTTTCTGACTCAGGGAATATACTCATCATTTTGAGCTGTGATTTCTCATGTGCCTGGTCTGTCTGAACTCTGAACTCCTTATCCTTCCTGCTCCCCCTTCTCATACCTGTACTTTCCCTCGCCTATCTTTCTCTTGCATATATCTCTGCATGCACTTTACTGGTCTTTTTTAAATATAATATAGTTCACTCAAAAGTAGGCACATATTAAAAGACCACACGAGACATCGACCCTTTTTCTTAGGAATAGTACATTGTTTAAACCTGTATATATAGCTTAGCTTTCTAGATAGAGAGATAGGGTCAGCACTGTAAATACCTAGTCAACTTTAAGAAGTCAACTGTAATGGAATCATATAATATATATATTTTTAGTACGTGCAAACTATCTTGAGTCAACACCAGAAAGCTGAATCTACCGCTATAAAGCTACAGCCTTTATATTGGGCATCCAAGTTGCAGCGGCAGTTTCTCACATATATATGAACGTATGTACTGGTTAAACCCCTGGTGGGGCTCAAAATATTTTAACATTTGCATTTGTGTGTGTATTCTTTCAGAACTTTATATGCGTTCACATGTATATTTGCTTAATTAAGCTGCAGGTTCATACAGACCTGTGGCAGCTAATTGATGACTGGCCATTATCTCAATATATATTAAAAATGAAAAGGTAAACTCCCACCAAAATGAAGATAACCTTCCTATAAATGGATGCTAGACTACAATCTGTTTTATTCATCAGTCTCTTCAAATTTATATTGTTACTCAGAAACACAAAAAAGCTGTTCATCACTTCTTTATGCCTAATAATTTGTACTGTTTGTTATCTAAATTGCGAGAAATAAAAATGTGTATCTGAATCCTAAAATTAATCACATGTATATATCCTACAGTTTTAGTGTGTAACTCAGCTTAACTGAACTGAAAGTGTTTCATAGAATTTGCAATTGAGTATAAAGTTGTCTTGCTGCATGAAAGTTATAAATCAAAAAGGTAAACCCTAATCATACAACCCATAATGTTCTTTATGTGCATGCAAATAGCAGGATCAAAGCTTTCATGGATGGACATATTACTCACGTGTCACGAGCCGCGAGTGGAAAAAGGTAATATCAGCCAGGTACGATCCGAATGCAGTAAAAGGGTAGTTTCAACCAAAGGAAAAGATTGGGAAATCAGTTCTCGGAGTAATAATAATCTACTAAAAACAACGGAGAAGGCACTTATAGATGCAAATCTAAGCTCACACCCTCGGGTGCTGCGGTGGTGGCTGGCTGCTCGCAAGCAGACTGACCTTGCGGGGAGAGCAGTAAAGAGGAAGAGGAGGGGGAGGCCGCCCCAAGAGAAGGGGAAGCTCTCTGCTCTTCTCCGAACATGTGCAGCGTGACCGGCCGCCGCTCTCCAGCCAACGGCATGCCCATGTTGCCATGCGCAGCCAGCGGCCTCCTCCACTGCGCCTCAGGCAGAGGGTTCCCGTTGATTGGCTGACCGACCGACCCGATCCCTCTGTAGAACTGCTGGCCATAGGAGATACCGCCACTCACCGTGGTCCATGACGGGTAGAATGTCGCACCGAAGCGGTGCTGCGGGTAGCCAAGGAGGTGGTGGTGGTGGTGCGCGCTGCCAGCAGCCGCTGCCGCTGCGGCCATCGCTGACTGCATCTGCACCCGCTTCGCGTGCTGCCGCTCGCGCTTGTGCGCGTTCTGGTGGCCGCCGAGCGCCTGTGACGTCGGGAAATGCCTGCAGCAGTAGTGGCACTCGAACTTGCGGTTGCTGTCCGGGGCGGCGCTTGCAGCGGTGATGGCAGCTCCACTGCTGCTCTGCGTGGTGGCAGAAGGGGTCGCGCTGCTGGCAGCGGTGGCTTCTTTAATTCTTCCCTCAGGCGATGCATGCGGGACGTCAATGCCGAAGAGACGAATGCCAGAGTTGGGGCTTTCTCGCGGAGGAGCGCCGGAGCGCAGGAATGGCAACTCGGAGAAGGACGCAACGTTGCCAAAGTCATGAGGCTCCCGCACGGTCGCAGCGCCACCACCGACACCACCTTCACCGCCTCCGCCTCCACCGCCACCCATGCAACCAGAACCAGGTGGATTGAGAAAGGCACAGAATTTCCTAGGCTATCTAGCAGCTCTTTGTGAAGTACAGCACAATGTCTCAGGCTCAGCTGCTAGTCTAGCGGCAGCAACAGTGAGTAGCTGTTGGGAGGAAGAGGAACCCCGGCCCTGAATATCATGGAGTTAAGGAGGGGGCCGGCCGGGGCATGAGAAGAGAGCCAAGGAGAGAGAAGGTATTAGGAATAGAAAGGGCAAGAAGAAGGTCTGGTGTTCATGTCGCTCAAAGGAGGAGTGCCAAATGTATAGAAGCGATAGGTTTCGCATCGCATGCTTGCTGAGGCGAATGGGGTACCGACGGATGGGGCAGGGTAATTGTCACCTTACTATCGTGCGTGGTTAGTTAGGAGGAGGTGGGGGCATCCTGCTGCTGCTAGATGGGAGGTGGATACATGCATCGTCCATGCATCCATGGTGATGTCGTAGTAAATTCTTGGGGAAGGGCTGGGGCCTTGTGGTTGGGGGAGCCCATAGTACACAATAAGCTCTGGCAAGTACTACTGCACTGCACTAGGAGGCTTTTGGGCTCTCCCACATAACAAACAAGTACCTGTCACTGAGTCTGAGGAAAACCGTCTCTCTCACTCCCTCACTCTCACGAGCGCTCTCTCTCTCTCCTCTCTCTTTTCTTTGCTTTCTTCATTTCTCTGGCTTTCATGCATGTGTAGGCATCAGTGAGTACGTGACAAGCTCTGAGCGTGGGCCTGTCGCTCTATATAGCAGCTATGTGGGGGTGGTACTGGCTGTTTTATGGGGGCTCTTTATAGCTGTTGGCTTCTTTACATCTGGAGCTGCAGGCTTGTGTTTGGAAGTGGTCCTGTCGTGCAGATCTAGTGGTAGCACCCTCCTTGTGGCTACGCTAGCACAGCTGCAGCTGCGTGACTGATCGATTTCTCTCGACCACCTCCAAAAAAAGACTATACCCTGCTGCTGTCTTAGTTTCTTATCTTGTTTGCTTTCTCTATTCTTAAGCTATACCTTATATGGGAGCGTCCTAAAATATCTGCCTACTCCTGTTTACCGCCTATTCATCTCAAAAGCTAACCAACTGCATCCATCAACTATCCTAGCTAAGCTTGCTTCTTGTTATTGTTAAGCGGCTAACCACACAGGAATCTTGTTGCCATGTTCACCTACCAAGCTATGTAGTACTAGTTACCTCGGAATATATATCGATCTACATGCAACTAGACGGTGCATGTGTGGCTAGGTTCATCATGCTAGGCTCTGCTTTGTTCTTTTGCTATAATGAAGCTACTCAGCACTCGCTTTGTTTTTTAGTCCCTACGATTAAAGCGAGGCCACCTGAGATAGCGGACACATGCATGATTTGCGGGTGCCTCTTGGATGATCAAAGAATAAAAATGTTACAAAAGCTTTTTCTCTGAGGTCACTCCCGATGATGTCACGTCAGAGGTATTTATAGGTGGTATCATAGGACTAAAGATGACATGGAGGGGAAATAAAGAGAAAATAATAGTAGTACAAAAAACTAGCTAGACCACATCATCACAGATGGTTTAGCATTGCCACTGACGAATTACTGGGTCCATGTATATATGCAACAATTGTAAGATTGGTATCATTTACATGTTCTAGGTGGCATGCGTATGGATACAGCAAAACAAAGGTCATTCGCAGCGCCTTTGTGAAGTTTTCATGCCTTCTAGAGACAAAACCTTGCGATTTTTTCTCCTGATCTCTACCATCACATTCCCCTGACATGTTTTCCATTTTTTCATAACTTTCCTGACCCCTCATTTGCTATTCTCTATTCCACGTTGGTTCATGCCTCTGGGGGCCCTTACTTCTTGATCACTGTACTTCATGCAATATGCTTAAACTATAGCCGCATGGATATATTGTAATTAAACAAACCGAGCACGTATGTGTTCCACAGGGTGGAAGAAAAGGCAGATGGCTGTTTCTCCGGCCGGCCAAGCTCCCACGTTCCAGGGCGATGGGGATTCTGCTGCACCAATGTGCGTGCTGTTTACATGGAAAGGTGTGCTCCTCCCATCAACAGACAACAACCTTTGTTTTTATGAAGCATAGCATCTTCCGTTAAAAGATCACCCAGATGCTTTTCTCTCGTGAATAGATCCTGTGTCCATGTCAAGATATCATGCATGCCACTGCTGGAGATCGTTAGTATCTTTCCAAGACTAGGGAAGAATAGTACTCCCTCCATAAAGAAATATAAGATCGTATCACTATTTTAGTGATCTATATGATCTTATATTTCTTAACAGAGGGAGTAGTTGGCATCAGCTGTAAACGAAGCCACACAATGACCAGCACCTGCAGCCCGAACCACAATATATAGTTTGACTTGTTGTGTGCATAGTATCATACAAAGACCGCGGGGGATCACTCTTCTGTTGTCTCTAAAAAGGATGGTTTAATTTGATGTGCTATTTGTCATCAGATCAGAATTTGCCGTATTCCAATAATTATCAAGAGGACTTGAATGTTTTTTTTTTGCATGGAAGAGAACTTGAATGTGTGGCTGTTGGTTGGGACATGCAAGTTGGTACCTAGTACTTCCATGTTTATATGTGTACGTACGTACCTAGGGTTGAGTACATAGTGGTACACGTGCCTTGTTTGTGTGGAATTTTTAAAGCTGTTCACAGTATAGCGGTGACTGGTTTGTGGAACCAGTCAGTTGTTGCGTGTATGAATTCAAGATCTAGCAGCAGGGTCACTAGGTCCAGAATTTCGCGAACCGAATTATGCTGTGCGTCGTACTAGTGGCTAGCTAGTCGTACCAAATGATTCAGACAGACAGAATGCATGGTCGCTACTCGCTAATTATATTGATTGATTACGACTCTCTTGACCAGAACCAAATACGTACAAACCCTAGTGGTTGGTTACAGGTCTAGATCTCACCAGCAGCTAGCATTTCCAGCACTTGATAACCAGCTACTTGTGCTAATCAGAAGGGGACCTAATTTCTTTCGTCTTCAGAGAAGACGCCACCATCCTTGTCCACCTCTACTAGCAAGCCTTGCTGTTTTGAAAGTGGTGGCGGGTCCATGCGGCATAGGAGAAAAAATGGATCTTGTCAGTTTTGTTAGCAAGATCAAAGCCTGCTGCCTGTGCGAAATTTGCTCATTACTCCCGCTCGCTTTCTTTCGGAAAATGTTGCCTCATTATTCCTCTTTAACGATGGTTCTCGTGCATGCATGTGGGCAGTACATGTGGGTGTACTGACTTTTAACTGCGGCGTTACATGTGTTCCTACCAAAACAGCAACTTGATCATTAAGACGCGGGGCCTCCTCTATAATGATAAATTCAACAAAGTGGGGACTAAATCTTCTGTCTGCTGCCACTATATACGCTCTGAAGAAATATGCGACAAAACAAGAAATTTGGGAGCGGCGTTCTCCAAACTTTACGGCCATTTCCGCATGAACATCATATGAACCTGAAAAGTTTCTGAAGAAAGTTTCTAAACAATCTTTTCTGTGCCTGTTACGCAACAAGAAATTTGCAAGTGATGCTTCCTAAATTGGACCATATGTATGGCATATTTCCTGATCATATGAACCTGAAAAATTTCCAAACAAACTTAAGAGGTAGAGTTTTTACTTAGGGTGCGTGAATCATTTTCCTTGACTAAATACATAGCACCTTTTGATCAACTAAATATGGAGAGTCTAATTGCGCTAGATGTCCATGATGAACCTATATCTTACTGATCAGTAGCCAGTGCATGCGGCAGTGCCTATCCTTTGAGTACGAAGCTGATGATCATGCAAACTGAGTATGGTGGTCGCTTTACTGATGTTGTGATGCAGTGCCTGACTCGTAGGCAATTATTCTTCCTCTCATAACTGTGCACAGCTTCCCTCTATTCTGCTCCCTGCAGTTCCCATCCATCACCTTGGGCTTGTGAAACGTACGTACATCATCTTGGTTCACTCCACAGCTGCAGCTGCAGTGCAACCCTCCTGTTAGATGGCCGAGTAAGGTACGTACATGTCTGTTGCGCC